TAGTAAGTAGTAAGTAGTAGTAGTAGAGAGAGAGAGAGAGAGAGAGAGAGAGAGAGAGAGTGTGTGTGTGTGTGTGTGTTTTTGTGAAATTATTTGTTTGTGCTTAGTAGAGAGAACTTTAGTGAAATTAATTTTAGTGGAATTATTAATGGAACAAACTTTATAGAGAGAGAAAGATGTCAATATAATACATTGGTTACGTTTTCAAAAAAAAAAAAAGAGAAAGCAAAATGGGACTCAAGTGAAGAACTTGAAACAGTCCCACATCGAGCATAAAGAGAAGAAAATGCCTTTATAAAAGGCTTAGCTTGAAAGAAAGACCTATGTGATCTTTTACCGGAGAATACATTTTTTTATTTTTATTTATTTTTTTCACCCTCTTTCTTTTGGCAAAATATCACTTATATGTGGTCTTTATTATAATGAGATAAATTTCAAAATAAAATCAACATAACAATAAAATCAAGATCTTAACAACTTGATGACAACTAAGCACTATGCTTGAGAATAAAAGATAAGATTGCAAGAAACAAAAGGAAGAGTGTTGGAGATTATCTCAACCGGGCTTATTACACCTCATATCGAGTCACTACCATCCGATGGTGCAGGATCAACGATCTAGCTTCAATCTCGAACCGGGAAAGCAAATTTCGGCGAAGCCACACCAATGGAATATGAACCCCCTTGATCACAAACTCAAACCCTAGGTGAATTCTCTTAGCAACCTAGTTTGAGAGAGATAGATTCTCTCATTTTGCTAAACCTTAAAACCCCCAACCATAAATCCATATTTGAGAGATAGGAGAGAGAAGACCTCCATAACCTAAACCTTTATGTTCTTTCACAATATGGGAGAAAGAGATCAAACATGAGAGAGAAACTTTCTTAAGAGAGAGAGATAGAAAGATAAGGTATAGAGATTTTGGATGGAGACAATCTTTTTTTTATAGGCTTGAACAAGATTAGGGTTTTTTAGGGTTTTCCTTAGTTCACCTCTTCTTATGATATTGAACATAGACCATCGATCAAGGGTGACTTGTGGGGTGAGAGATTTGAGTAATCCATTCCATAGATGGGCCATCAACATGAAAGATACATGAACCATTACCTTCCTTTCCTTAACCATTTTCCCATCAATAAAAATTAGATAAATTAAATCTAATTAAAATATTATGTATTCCATAATCTTTTACAAAATATTCCAAAGATATATCAAGTAAATATACACTTTCAATATTTAGTCAATATATGGTCAAAATATTCCATATATTATTTCATCACATGCCATAACATAATATTACCAAAACATGAAATAACTTAAACTCCAAGAAAGAATCTAATGGGTGGGGCGTGCCACCCATGTGTGGCACATGTGGGCCCCACCCACTTGACACATGGTGGGCCCATGTGTACTATGGGCCCCTCCATGATATTTTAAATAATTTTAAATTATAAAAATAAATTCTAAAATATTATTTGAATTTTATAATTTTGTAAAATCAATATCTTTATTTTTATAAGTCCAAAAACAATTATAATATAAAATATCAAATGACTCATAAAAATTCAAATAATAATTCTAAAATAACTTCTATCATAAAACAAACATAGTTAAATTAACTTTATGAGAAATAGATCCATATGGTTAAGGAATTTAATCTACAATCATGGGGCACTCCACCTTCAATTGTGGACTATAGACAACACTTGCCTTATCGAACCGACTCAGTATTTCTCATGACGTACAGTCCAAACAGGGGCTCATTAGCAAGTCACCAAAATCTGACAGATGAGCCGAGGGGTCGCAATCCTAGTCTGTGGATTACAGGTCCTCCCCTAGAGACAAGTGAATGTTACCAAGACCTTATGCGACCACATCTCTATGGCGCATAGGGGTATATTTCACACATGCATATGCTTCACCCTAAAAGCTGGATTTCTAGCTTTCCCGAACGATCTATCGATATGCATGTTATGTTATGGTACATGGATGAGGTTTTGGCCACTGTCTTTATAGGCCACCATCACACATAAGGGTCACACAGTTCGTCGGCTCACTCATCCGAGCATGTTCTCCGACCTCATCAAGGGCTAACCCATAAACTCTCATCGGTTTGTACTTCATTCCCAGGTAACATGGGTTTCTCTTAACCGATTGGCCTAGATCGTTAAGTACATATCGGTATCAGCAAATCACTGTTTGCTTAGTATGGTCCATGAGGGACCACACTCCCACTGAGTTCATGTTCCACTATATCATTTCAATTTACAAGCACTCATAAGGCATTTAAAGGCCACATAAACCCAACATAGCCACCACCCTCATTAATTTGACTC